GCAAACTCGCGCTCTGATTGGTCGCGGTTTTTCGTTAATATCTCGGTAACGAAGCCTCAGTTTACATTGATGCTAAGGAAAAAGTTGTTCCAATTCACCCCCCGAGTGCCCCATTTCCGGGTCGGAGGACATTTTTGGGACACCCTGTATATTTTCACAGAGAATTCAAATATTTAATTGTGAACACTAGAACTATCGGCATTGAATGTATTCTAAATTAAATTGTATAATACAATAATATACAGAATATATGTATAAGACAATCTAGTATAATGTACCATAAAATAAAATCTGTAGTAAATTAAAAGTCAACATAAATACCGTCAAAAGCAACATTATAATTTCAGTAATGGTAAAATAATAAATCCACAATCCGTCATTTTGACGTGTTCGATAGTTCTAGTGTTAATATGATTCGGAGTAGTCATTTTATGGTGCTTGGATTTCAACGTTTATTAAAAAGAAAAATAGTAGAAGGACAAAGTCTTATGTATAATGTAAGATGACGTTTCCATAAAATATGAGAAGCAACAACTGAACTCCTGTGTGAGTACATTTTATATTAATCGCGTGTTTCAGACATCTTTCATTCACAGTGTGTTATATAAACCAAATATCTTTTTAACAATTTCTTCTGCATTTTGTATATACATACACGGTCATCTCGAATATCTGGCTTGTTCTCCACAATTATCGTCCAGGCGCCTCCCCCTCCACTTGGGGGGGGGGGGGGGGGGAGGTGGAACCTGTCAAGCGTATACTTTGTTGTCCCGGCACGCCGAGGCGGTTTTCCATTTACGACTCGTGATGGGACACCAAGCCGGATTCAAGTCGTTCAAGTCAGATGACATCACCGGACCTCGGCTCGCGGCGACGGTATCTAATCCCTATAAGCCTTCGGCAACCAACGCTCGGGTTACAATGTAACACACAGAACGAATCACCCATAAATAAAAATTTAAACTTTTACTCCTTTTAGTGTACTTTCTTTAAAATGTACATTTATTCATAACATTTTTAAGAAAGTACACTGAAAGAGTAAAAGTTTAAGTTTTTATTTATGGGTGATTGGTTCTGTGTGTTACATTGTAACGCGAGCGTTGGTCGCCGAAGGCTTATAGGGATTGGATACTGTCACCGCGAGCCGAGGTCCGGTGATGTCATCTGACTTGAACGACTTGAATCCGGCTTGGTGTCCCATCACTATTCACGAACCGACGGCTGAAGGGTGGGAGTCTAAAAAAGATTACAGTCCCAAGTGTCGGTGTGACAGCAATAATGCAACGATAGAACTTTCTTATTTTTAGTTCTTTGTTAATAAAACTTCTACGAACATATTGCTGAAATATTTCTTATTAAAATCATACCAAACACGACGCAATTTGGGTCATATTTACTTATGATTCATCAGAATCGATAATGAAGTAATATGAACTATTAACAGTTTCTACATGAGTAAATATGATCCAAAATAAATCATATTAGGTATTATTTTAACCAGAAAAATCTCACCAATATACTAGTGAAAGTTTGATTAACAACGAATCAAAAATAAAAAAGGTTCATCGTTGCATTAGCGATGTCTCGCACGCCGGGCAACAAAGCATGCGCTCGATGTACTTGACGGACGGAGTGGGGAAATGGACGACGATTAGTCGATGCCTTCAATCGTCAGCGACTGCCCAGAAAGCTGCCGACGAATCAAACGCAGCCGGATCACCTTCAGTCACACGTATTTTTATTATTGGCCGAAACAGTACACACACAATCGGACCGTGTGGTCGACTATAATGTAACCATTGATACATTCACATTTCACTCGCTTGTTCTTTTTTGTGTTCGGAAAACTCCAAACCGAGTTGCCGAGACTCGAGCTTTGGGCAAAGAACGTATTTACGAAGAATTATTACGAGAATCGTATTACGAGAATCTGAAGCATTTGGCCATAGAAGATTGTTCCGGCGCGGACCCGAGTTCGGGACGATATTCGAGAGGACCCTGTAAGACAATACAAAATATAATTTTGCTTACTGAATTTGTTTGAATGCGTTCCTGGATTCGCCAGCTGTGTAACCAAATTGATAGTTATCCCATGCTTCAATTACTAGAACGTAACTTTGTTTAGTTTCCCAATCGATAGAATCTGCTACTGTCAAAGTACCGTATTCAGGATGAATAGCAAAAGTTCCCTGTTAAAAAGAATTTGATTAAACTATTATTATAAAGATTTGTCAGTAGTTCATAAATAAAATGTAAGTAAATTTATTAAAGAATAAATTGAATAAATATTCGGTTTATGAGGTGTATAAATACTGATTTGTCATGATTTTCTTATTTCTTTTATTTTATTACTTACTTGAGACGACATTCTATCGAGTAGGTAAGTGATTTTTCCATAATCTCCACTATCAGGATCTTCAGCTTGAATAACCGCAATCTCCGTGCCTATCTTAGAATTCTCCATCACCGTCAAATTACTAATGTCAGTCACGAAATACGGATTATTATCATTTTCGTCCAATACCTGAACGTAAACCTCCGACAGACTTGATCTATAAACGTTATTTATTGATAAATATTTCTCTCCTCTGTTATAAAATTTTGTCGCTTGTACTTTTAACGAATAATATGTAAACTATTAGTCATATAATTTTGTAGAAAAAAAAGCTTTCTACCAATGAAAGATCTCAGTCGAGGAAAGGTTTTATTTAAAGGTACAAACGATTTTACCTTGATGGTATTCCTGAATCAATGGCTCTAACTGTCAGATTCAGCCAAGAATATAGTTCCCTATCGATTTTATTCGCTATGACCATTTCGCCCGTTTCGGAATCAAGATGTACTAAATCTGCCAATTCTCTCGGACTCTCCAGAGAGTAAGTAATGCTACGATTCTTATCAGCGTCATCAGCCACAATATTAGCGATATTCACGCCATTTTTACTGTTCTCTGTCACTGACCGTTTATAAAATGGTCTCCGGAATCTTGGATTATTATCGTTTTCATCCTCTATTATTATATACAACGTAGCTGAAATTGTATTAACATTAAAATATTATCAACAACAACAATTCGCATGGAAACAATTTCCACTGAATAAATAACAAAAAATTCTTGTACCGAGAGCAGATTGTATTCCTCTAACTGCAGCTAAATCCTCAACAACGAGACCCAGTCTTATCGTTTCTACTCTTTCTCTATCTAACAACTTAACTACTCGAAGCAAACCGTCTAATGCATTTAATTCTAATGCGGACAGATAATCATATTCTTGAATCTTAATTAATGTCCCTTCTTCATTCCTTGCTTCAGAAGAATTCGGATCGATACGATAACGTAAAATCGGTGCAATGTCTGGGTCGTTAGCAACAATGCGATGTACGTACGCTCCAACCTAATAAATAATTAGAATAATTTGGTATCATTACTAGTTTAAGCAAGCAGGAAGTTCAAAGAAATGTACTCTTTGTTTCAAGAGCATTATCGTATTAAATATTAATAAAAACCTTATTAAATGTACTCAATCTTTTCATTTAATTTTCTATTCGTAATTCATATACACATGTATGGTACGAAGTACGAATACGTACATGTCCATTGTGTATTGATCCTACATTAAATTTTCGGGTAGTACAGACTAACGTTATACTAATCCTACATAACCGCACATTTTCTTTAAAAAATAATTTATTTTTTTTAATACTCAATTTACGATAGCATCAAATTGTCGCGAATCCGTAGAGACAGGTATACCACATAGAGAATTTCGAGATCAGAAGTGATTCGAAATGCGTCGAAATGACGCGTCCTGTAAACCTAGTGTTAATCGGATTATGTAACATGATCAGGAGAGGAACGTTTTAAATCCATTTTACAAATGAAACATAGAGTTGTATGTAGTATAATAAGTGAAATAGAAAATTCGGCAACATTTGAGTGAAATATTAACAAAACAGTAAGTGTCTTTACCTATTTACCAAATATAAAATAATGTAATGTTAACGTATGTGTTAATATAATATGAATAAACAAAAAAGAAATGATAATAATAGGAACTTTTGTACGTGAAAGTAAGAAACATTATCCCTAATAAATATTTAATTGACTTATTTTGTATTCGTTGAATAATCAAAAATGTTTATAGTTACATCGATGTAAATTTTTATTAGTGTGAATAATTTTTATAGTTGACATCCAGTATGTTGTATTAAATACTCTTTGTTAAAGGAACTACATTTTTTAAAATTCATAGAAATATCGTATAATACCCCCGAAAGGCAGACGATTTTGATGATTGTATGGATGACAATATCTGAGTCCAGAGAGGGCCCTACTGATCTGTCTTTAGTAGTGTTTTGGAACGAATTTCTTCAAAATATTTTCGTCTTCTTATGCAATGCTAATATCAATAACTCTACAGTTTAATGAGTTTCTTTAAACTGGAATAGTTTGTGCAGTTTCTACAATCCTGGATGAAAATGAACCCAGACACTGCCGTCCGAGGGTTAATAAGAAAATACATTTGAAAGTGGTTCAGTAGAAGATTTCTAAATACATGCCTGGGTATTTTCGCGAATGGTAACAGTACCGGGATCGATGAAAACTGGCGGCTTATTATTGACGTCCACAATTGTAATATTAACAAGAACTTCAGCTGTCCTTTGAATTTCCGTCCCGCTATCAATTGCAAAAACATTTAGGCTATATCTCGTAGTTTTCGAGGAAGTGAGATCTGGATCTAAATTGGAACCTGGAGCAACCCTAATCACGCCCGACTCGGGACTAATTACGAATTTATCACCTGCACCACTTTGTATCCTATAAACTAATTTGTTATTAGGCGGTGATAAATCCTTGTCCCAGGCTTTAACCTGCAACAAAAACTTTTTTTATGTACATAACAAACGAAATTTTAATCAAATCATGTCTAAAAGATTTAATGTATTACACCAACAGAGTACTAAAATCGAGCAACTCAAAGACAGTCAGTACATTTCTTCATGTCTTTACACTGTGCTTAAAAGCTTCATCTCATTGGCAATTTAATATTCTTTATTTTTATCGTTAATCGAAAGCATATCAAAATTGCTAGCAAATGTTTTTGTACATGACTTTGTTTTAAAGATTATAATTTCAAATGTACATGTATCTTATAGAAATCCTTTCTTAAATGTTCAACTTTAGTATACATATAATTGTCGAGTGATTACAGGATATTTCTGACTGGTGGTACAACCTGAAGGCAGTGATTCTGCATGAAAAAGTAGTAACAAATGCAGGCAAAACTTTTTTTATATGAAGGTTTCTGTCCGAATAAGTAGACGTCAGAAATTTACCGAAGCCTCGTGCATTCGAAGTGTGCCTCGACTTAACAGATCTCGTGATAAACTAATCTTCGTTGCTTTTATAGTTTATAAATACTATCAACGCCATGATTTACAATCGTATCAGTTACATATTGTTACGTGTTCCCCTATAGGTAGCAGGTATTATATAATGTTAAAGCGAGAGACTTGAGAGTAGCAGCGTCGTTTTGGTAACGACGCCCAAAGCAAGGACAAAGTAGAGTCATGGTACGACCGTAGAACGGAAAAGACGTGTCAAGATAAGTACTCCTCCTCTTCAAATAAGTAATTCTTCCTTTTTATAAACATTGTCTTTATTTATTGGAAGTCATGCCGCGCCTACGCAACAATATATTAGCATGCATTTGTTGGCACAAATTCTAAATATCTATAATTCTATCCATATTGCTACGTATAGTAACGGAGCAGCTAAAGCAGAGAAACATTGTCGCAGTCGAACAATTCAAAACAGAAAATAGTCTAGGAAACTTTATAGAACTGTAATACCCTGAGCAGAATTATATTGCTAGAAAAACAATTATTATTTTCAACAATATTCACATTAATAAGTAACAGTAATTCTCGAGCAGAAAATGTTTTTGTTTCGTTTTCATTCTTCAGTAATTGATATGATGAACATGGGCAGCAATGCAGATACTTTACAGTGATATCTATTAGACCCAGTCGATCAATACTCGATTAGGACTTGATGAATACAAACATCGACCTATTTAGAAATGAAGCTTCGTATAAAAACATGTTATTCCACGTTTTCGATTTACTCGGGTTGTACTATCAGTTCATAGACGTAAGTTATGTAACTGGTGGTATAACCGGTTACGGGGTGATTCCACATGAAAAAATAACTCGAAAATATGGAATAAAATTTTTTCATTTGGGACCTCGTTTTCGAGAAAATCAATTTTCCAACTTCGCTGGATACGCGTGCAATTGAATAAGTCTTGGATAGCACATAGTACCATGGCGAATACACACGATTCGGATAAATTTTCAATGTCCTTTTTCTCGAAAATAAAGTCTCAAATAAAAAAATTTTATTCTATATTTTCGATTTATTTTTTCACGTAAAATACCCCTCATCCGGTTGCACCACCAATTACATGACACCCTGCACATATATTCATGATAAAAATAATCTGTTTCAATATTTTCTATAAAATACAAGTATATCGTAATGGAAGCTTAAGAGACTAGTCCTAATGGATGTTTGCAGGTAAGACAAATGTTTTTCGATACTCCAGCTTATCTCAGGGTTAACTTTGAATTACTGAATTTCCTGAGTTATAAATTGTTAATATTTACTATTTTATACGTATTCTATCACCGAGAATACATAAAATCCATAAAAATAATGAGTGCTATAGAAATAGTGTCATATTCGTAAAATTTCCAAAATCCATTTGTTCAAATCCATACTTTGTGTACAAAAAATGTATTTCATATCGTGAATTCTTCTTTGCATGGGGAAACGACTCTCCTTTGCTTGTACTACGGCTTTCATATACCATGTATACATATGTACCTGAACCACGCTGGTACCACCAGCTAAATCTTCAGGTATGCTTCTCTTGTACAACGTTCTTTCGAAGGCGGGTGCGTTGTCGTTAATGTCCTTGAGGTAAATTATTAATGGCGCATCAGAACTCAAACTCGGTGTACCCGCATCTCTGGCGCGTACTGTCAATCTCAATGGGCGCACGGACGTTTCTTTGTGTCCTTGACTGATAGGTAATGCTTCGTAATCTAGTGGTGTTGTTGGGACAATGGTACCGCGTTTCGGATCGATGCTGAAATTTCGTGAAAATTCCCCCGCTACGAGGGCGTAGATTACTTGGCTGTTCTTGGTACCTGAAAAAAGTTATTTATTCAACTCATTAGTCTAAAGGTTATTGCTATACAGGGTATCCCAAAATAGTTTCAACTCCCGGAAATGAGGGGTTCCTGGGATGATTTAAAACAATTTTTTCCTTAGCGAAAATGTTATCCGTGGCTTTGTTGACGAGATATTAACGAAAAACCCCGACTAATCAAAGCGCGAGTTTGCCGGCTGAGCTCCCGCGGTATCGTTGGTTATTAATCGCAGCGCGTAACCAACGCTACCGCGGAAACTCGGTCGGCAGACTCGCGCTCTGATTGGTCGGGATTTATCATTAATATCTCGTTAACAAAGCCTGGGATAACATTTTCACTAAGGAAAAAGTTGTTCCAAATCATCTCAGGAACCCCTCATTTACGGGAGTCGATGCTATTTTGACACAACCTGTATATAACTAACAGCTGTAATTTAAAAATGAATTGTACTTTGCAGAAATATTCATAGGTTTCATCTTAAACAATAGAAAAATGGAACGTCATTGATGTTACTTTCTGAACTTTTATGTGTAAAGTTATATTGCTTGCATTGAAATTCTTAATATTTATGTAACTAATTTCAAAGTGTAGTAGACGGCTCCTTATCCGGTTCCACTTTAACCAGCCATATTTTCGTTAAGTAATCTAGCGGAAAAACAGTTGATACATTTTTCGGATTTATTTTTGAAGTACATAATAAAATTTGCCAAGGCCTTGGTATGTAATACATAAATGCTAAATGTGCTTCTTAACATATTGAACATTGTTTAAATGGTCATTAGTGTTAGTTCTTATTTATATTAACTTTATAAATCGAATTAACCGGCCAGTCGTTTATTCACGAAGAGTTTGGTCCGTAGGGATCGGTTATGAAAGAATCTACTATAATCGAGCAGTTATAGTTCTCTAGTAATTAAGCAATAAAAACACTTGTTACATGATGTATACCGAATAATAAATATTCACTTTTATAATTTATCGAATTTTAGTTATCTACGACATAGTAAATAATCACAAAAATGGATTTACAAACCATTTAAATCGATGTCAAAAGCTTCAACGATTAACGATGATTCGAAATTATCTTCATTTTCCAATAGTACAGCCTCATATTTATTTTGCAAAAATACAGGCGCGTTGTCATTCACATCGTTCACGTTCACAATCAGTTGGGCTGTATTACGGTTACCTTTACCAAGATCGTCCCTTGCCTCAACAGTTAAATAATGTCGGGAGACTAGTTCTCGATCGAAACTCGGACCCAGTTCTTTAACTGTGATTACACCAGTGAAAGGATCCATTGTTAGCCTGCAGTTAAAAAATCGAATATGAAACATAAGTTTAATCTTTCTTGAATATATGTTACTTAATATTCCTTGAGCTTACGCGTGCCCAATGCTGCCTCCTAAGTGTGTGTATCTAATTCCTCGAGTTCCAAAATTGCCACTGTCCTCATCGAGTGCTTGAACCCAGGCTACTGTAGTTCCGACAGCGCAATTTTCCGGAATTGAGACCTCATAGATGTTTTCCGTGAACTCTGGATAGTTGTCATTTTGATCTTTTACGAACACCGTCACCGGTACGATACTGTATTTCGGTTTCACTTGCACGACTTCCTTTGCAATTAACGTAAAATTAACCTCTAAAATGTGAATCCAAGAATAATAGATTAGTTATTGTAGATCGATAATATCCACAGAACATTCTGTAAACTAAGCTTTTATCGTTCATACTGTTCACAGTAAAACATACGAGAAGGCTTCAACTTCAGTTCGTCGATTGTGATTAATTTTTTAGGGCATATAGCAAGCTCCTTCGTTTTTACAAATCCCCCTCCCATATAAGGTTAGAAACTAAAAAGTTTTTAAGCTATTTACTTTTGAAATTTTCCGCGCGACTTAATTACCTACAAGTTATGTTGCCCGATAATTCGTGATAAATAAAGTTCAAATACGTCTCTTCTGAAGAGTTTGTGTTTGGGACATATTTGAACATTGACCGCCACGATAGAAACCATGAACGTTGCCTGGACGCTACATCTGGGAACGATCGGTCAACATTTTTTCAATAATCATCAAAACATGATTTTCATTAAAGTGACGAGGAAATATCCAAAAATTAATAACTAAAAAATTATTGAGTATCTGGGGGATCACGGGGGATGATTGTGAAAAGAAAGAAACGTACTACATGTCCTAAAAGTTGCATTAAAATCGGTGTCGAGAAGTTGGAGTCCTCTTTATGGTAGATCCAATTGGAAGAACAATTTTCTAACAACTGCCACTTCTTCTATTGAGAGTGGAACTCTAGGAGGTTGTTTTCGAGTGGACATGGAGGTGACAAGTAGTCAGATGAGTTATTTGTACGTGGATACATAGTACTTATTACAGATAAAAAGTTTAATTAATGATAAATTGAATGTAATTTATTGTTTTCAATCCTTGACCGGACATGTGAAAATCTTTGTGCAAACATCTAAAGGCAGATCTAGACACGTGGAACAGCGAACACTAACACGCGCAGCCGAAATCCCGTATAACTCGAGCCTTTCTTGCGCGTAGACTCATGTAAAATCGACCCTTTCAAGAGTGTTCTGCAATGCTCGGTGCTCGCGTGTGCCTTGTCAGACCATGGTCGTGAACAACGCGCGTTGATAAAAACTCTTGAGAGGGTCGATTTTAATGAGTCTACGCGCAAGGAAGGCCTGAATTATACGGGGTTTTGGTTGCGCGTATTCGTGCTCGCTGTTGCACATGTCTGAACCTGCCTTAAGAGGCAACATATTTTAAGGAATGACAAAATGATAGAAATTTGTACAGTATTCGTTTAATATGTAGTAGCAGCTTACAAGTACTCTTATTACAATGTAACATTAAATAGATTTTAGGTGATTCCATTTTAGAAATACCTGGTAGTTTACAGATTGCGCAGTCTGTTAAAGATCATCTGTTCCTTCAAGGGTTAAAAATGAAATACAGTTTAAGTACTTTATAAAACATGAACAGAAAAAGATACATTGTCACTAAAAAGTTTGAAGTATCTATCCCTTTGCTGCTTGAATAAATAAATCTTCTTCATATGAAGAAGGAATTGTTTAAGTATGATTTAGGATGAAGATTTCAGTCATATGGTAAATACCATTTGTGAAATATGCTTCTGAAAGGGTGGAAGGTGCACCAAAATTTTGGACGATAATGAATACGGAAATGTAAAGTAATTGCTAAAGTACCTGATTTCGACTCAAAATCGAGTTTACTAGAATTTTTTACACGTATTAAGAAAGGAGCTTCATTAATTCCTCTTGATGGTGTCACGTCAAATATTCCATCGTCACCGTCGATAAATATTCTAAAGGTACCATTCGTTCCCTGAAAAAAATATTTTTATTACTCGAATGTCCTCTATTATTAATATTAAATATGATATAGCCAAATAATGTTATTGCCATTTTTATGAATTACGTCGAGGGATTTTACAAGGGAAAGTATCCAATACTAAAGAAAAAAGAAAATCAGACTAAAATCTTCACAGTCATTGATTCTACTTAATTAAGTACCAGTGTACCGTTTTTTACGCAATGATATTATGTAATCAAAGAATTTAGAAAGCAGATTCGAAGATTTTACAACAGAAACGGTACTTTGTAAATGGTAAATACGACTTGAATTACTTTTTTTTAAATAAATCTTTCCTATATGTACATAATTTCAAACAGGAACAGGAATCTGGATTAAAATATGATGTAGTAGACTGTTTTCATTATGTAAGCTCGAATAACAAGAAAGAATATACAATACTAATACGAAAGCAGTTCTACTTATAAACTTTCTTTATTATTACTTCTACGTTTACATTCATTTGAAAAAACCAATGTTTTTAAATTCTCTTTATTATACTTTATTCGATCGGATGACGTTTATCTATGTATTCAATTTACATAAAATGTCTGCAGTATAAATTGATTTCTATAATGGTAACGAACTGAAATCACAACTGTTACATCTTCGTGGTTAATTTAAATTACATTTAAATATTTACAATATAAATTCATAAAATATAAGATTATATAAAGATATAGTTATGCTTCTGGTTCTGTTTTACGAAACTTTGTGTACTTATCAGCTCTGGTCCCCGTTAACTATTTTTTCAAATATTCACTTCTTGGATTAATCTTACATTATTATTTAACTTTTCAAATTGAGATTTCAATATGAAGTTGTTCATGGACTTATTCTCCTGTTTCACTTGGACTTATCGAATTTCTCCCCTGTTTCATTGGACAGGTTGATTCCCATCTCAACTATGTTATATTAAAGTACTCTTTTTTTAGCTACCAGGTAACACAGAAATAAGAAAAAAAATCAACAAAAAGGAACTTATGTGTTTTCCTGCGATCTTTATGTATAAATTATCATATTATTCGAACTCTTTCGTTTCCCGATGTGTTCAGATAAATGATCCAATAATAAACTAGCACCTAATTACTTCGCGAGAATTACTTCAATATTCATAGTGTAACATAGTCTAGTTTGAACGAACCCCTATAATTTACACTCCTTAAGAAAAAGGGAGTTTCAAAAATAACGTCGGTTTCTCACCAGGTCATGATCGTAGGCTTCCGGTATCGCATCTCCGATGAAATTAACCGGAGTATTGTATGGCGCGTTTTCATTTATCTCGGCGCGGTATCGTGAACTTCGGAATCTCGGGGTCTCGTCGTTAACGTCCGTAAGAATAATAGTAACTTCAGTCGACACTGATGGTGCAGGTACTGTTTTCGACACTTCCCTCACTGTAATTTCCAATACAAATGCACCTTCCGCGTTTTCTTCCGCTTCTCTGTCTAGTTGCGCCCTGGTAAATACTAAACCGGAACTTGCGTCTATGTCGAATAAGTATCGCGGGCCTTGAGTGATGCTGTACGTTACTTTATTATTTATTCCTTTGTCACCGTCTACTGCGCGCACTGTAAAGTATTTGAAATAATTATGTACAACATATTATAATGGAAGAATCTGTCAAATTCGCATGCAGAATATAACTAAATTTGTACTATCGAATGGAAGGTACTCATATTATTTAGTAATTATTTACAGAAAGATAGGATAAGATACAAAGGTCAACGTCATCATTCTGAACAATGTTTCCCTATACACGTTACCGGCGCACGGCCGTAGTTTACGGGATATTCGCAAAAATATTGTTTATATCGTCGATACACAATGTTTGATATACACAGGTTGTGGCAGGACGGGTGGTACAACCTGGGAGAGGAGTGATTCTACGTACAAAAATAAGTCGAAAATATACAATAACATTTTTTAATCCAACGGTTAGTTTTCGACAAAATCGAATTTGAAGATTCATCTAAAACGCGTGTATTCCTGCAAGCAATAAGTAGAAACGCAATGTAATGAACAGACGTACTAACAGTACTATGTGTCCAACTCAATTGCACGTGTATCCAAACATCGATATTTGGAACCGATTGATAATACGACATCTAACGGCACTACAGACAAATAAATTTTGTTCCCTGTTATCATCAAGTTGGAATTGTGTATTTGCTATGCGAAGACAGTGTTGCCGGATAGTATCCATATTCTGACGCTGTTGCCTCATGTCCCGCATGCAATTCTACTCGTGAGGAGAACGATGGAATAGCTACGTCCTACGACTCGTGGCGAGATTTGGATTCTCGCCGAACGTCCAAGGCTAGCGACCGACCCATCGTCATACAATGTAAACAGACGTAGATGAGATAAGGAATGACGCACGAATGAAAATTTAAACTTTTACAATTTGCAATATATTTTAATGAAAATGTCATGAATGAATTGAAGAGATTCTCCCTATTAAAATGCGTCCAAATTCGAGTGTAATTGAACAATTGTTACTCATACGTAATGTTGCGGATGAAAATGATATATTATTGAAAATAATCCGAATGATGTCGTATTTGGACTCATTTCCACCGACAGAATCTCCTCAGTTCATTCGTGACACTTTAATGAATGTATACTGAAAACTATAAAAGATTAAATTTGCATTCATGCGTTTCATTCCTTATATGTTTACATTGTATTTCGATCGTCGATCGTTGGCCTCTCGCCCGGCGCTCAACAGCCCATTTATTCCTGCTGGCCAAAGTTAGTCGAAGGAACAGTCAAGCGACAATGTTCTTTAGCTAACGATGAGCTGAGGCAGACAAAAAAGTTTAAAAAGCCGCGAATCGATGTGATTCATATTGCACTAACCAAAATTCTATACTGCTTATTTATCCACGATATATTACAGTCTAGTCCGTATATATGAACTAAAATATGATTTACAATAGAAAACTGCCCGCGTGAGAGCGGATACGTCAACTAGTTATCCATAAAATGATTTGAATTTTTATGAGAAGCTAAGGATTAGTTTAGATAATTAAGTTTTAATGGTTTAATTGTAATTAGTTGTTTAACAATGTATAAGAGAATGTTTAACAAAACGGGCACAAAAATAGTAACAAACACTTTTTTTAACTTGTTTATCTAAGCCTATAATGAACATTTGAAATATGCCTCTTATACGCTTATATGTAATAAAAAGAAAAGTGAAGTTATGACGTTAAAGTTTCTTTATTATCATAACTATATCATAACTATCTATGTGTATACATATATCGATAATTCTACTTAATAACAATAGGGAAACCGAAAGCTGGTTTTATGACCGTTTTAGTCGTCGTCCAACGAAACAGTATTCTTGTTTCTTCGTTTTCGATCGTCACCCGATCGTGGCTTTCAGAGTGACCTCGGTCAGGCCATCATTATCGGGCCCTGTCATAACAAAATTCCTCGGGGAGTCTCGTGTTGACAGTCGAGCGGTACGGACGTATTTGTATACAATCGCGAGTGCCATCATACCAAGTGCCGGTGTCAGTAAATCACTGAAGCCACGTGCTCAATATCGTATGAACGATAGG